ACGTAGCTTGGAGGCTTTGTGAAAGAATCTGGAATGAGAATGAGCCAGATTCGGATTAGAGTCCCGAGGATGCTACTCACCAACATTAATTTTCACTTTTTTTTACATGACTTAGTTTTACCTTTTTTTTCTCTCTATACTATACTACACAGAAAGGGAAAACAACTTAAAGAGAAGATACAGTTTATAGAATATACAAAGAAATTGCATTTACCGAACAAAGAAAATTAATTTCTTGAGTTGGCTGTCTATTGCTTTTTCTTGAATGATAAATCTTTTTGTTTCATTTAGAAAGTGAGGATAGACAAATTTCTTTAGCATAATCATCATATTAATTGGATTGATGTAATCAAATAAAAAAAACTAAATTAATGAAATAATATAACAAATTATTAAAATACCTTTAGTTAAAATTTAATAAAAATGAGAAAAAAATGGAAATATGATTAATTATGAAATAAAAAATATTTAAAACTGAATTCAATTTATTTGAGTAATTAATTGCAAGTATTGTATAATTTTTTACAATATAATTGAAATTGAAATATAATAAAATTAATTTATAAGTTAATTGATTGAATTAGACAAATTTCATAAAATGTAACTAATTTTTATCCCTGATTACTACCACACAAAGTAAAAATATTCTTTTTTTTTTGACAAACTTTCATCTCATTTTGTAGAAATAGTCTTTTAATTTGATTGTTGTGACAAAAGTAGTGTTCCTTTAGATTACAAACAAGCTCATGTTTGGAATTAGATTCTTTTTGTTGAAGACATATATAAAAAGGACAATTATACTTTGATAATATTTTTTTGACAACATTTTAACATCATTTACGTGTCATTCTGTGATTGGTCCAAAATTACTCGACAATCAATAATAATAATCATAAACACCAATATAGACCAATCACAGAATGACACGTAAATGATGTTAAAAAGTTGTCAAAAAAATGTTGTCAAAATATCATTATCTATATAAAAATTATGAGTTTTCAACTCATAATTTTCATTGGAACAAATTATTATAACAATACGAATATCTTGATAAACTACATTTTCTTTTGGTCGTTGGTAGACTCTCATTATAAAATTCATAAACACTTTTTTCATGCATTATTTTGAATGATGAAAATCAAGTTAGAACACAAAAACCATAAATAAATAATTAATATAAATTTTACATTTTTCTTCACTCTCATTTACTCAAATTAATAAAAATAACACCTTTTATTTTTGTTCCTAAATGTGACTAAATACATAAATAAAAATTAGGAGGAAAAATATAATTATTTTCTTTATGATTAAAGTGAGCTTGTTTGTTAAAAAAATACTTTTAATATATAGATAAATCAATTTTGGAACTACTTATATCCAGTGACGGATTTTAATGGTAAGCCTTCTCCATCCAAATTTTGTTTTATATTTAAGTAGTTTCTTATTTTTGAAACTAATATAGCTAATAAATCTTTCATTTTTAATAATTAATTTAATTTTTTCCCTCAATTCTTTACTGTTGAAAATCAATTGTTTTCTAGAATTTTATACCTAAATTAGATTTTATAACATTAAAAAGTTAAATATGATTTGAAGTATATTAGATAAAATTAGTAAGATAAACATTATATAACAGAAAATATATCTAAAAAACATTGTAGTTACATTTTAAGTGGAATATCTTTATATGTATATATTATTTTAATATAGCACATATTATTTAATATAGCCATATCGATATTAGGATAGTGCATAAAATGTTTTAAGTAGTTATGAAGATTATTTATTCTTTATAAGAAGTTTTTGTTGTACTATAGTAATTCAATTTTAATTTATAAGATCAGATTAACATATTATATAATGTCTAAAAAATCTTATTTTCTTGATTCTATTTTTCAATTGTTGGACAATTTGGATAATTAAATTAAAATGTTTTTTTACATCAAGTACCCTACTACTCATAATCCACTTTTAAGAATAATTAAGTTATTAAAAAATGAAATTTTGTAAATATAAAGAGAAAACTATATTAAAAAACTAAAATAATAAATATAAAATGAGTGTAAGACCTCCTACCACTCTCACTACATGACTCATCTCTTTAATTAAGCATGAATGATCATTAGAGTGTCAGGATAACCCCCAAAATTAAGCTTCTTACATTCATACCTATAACACTTGATATAATACTTAGAATTTCACCTCAGAAACTCTTAATTCATCAAACTTTGGAACATGCATCAACTTCATTCAAACCACTGATAACGTTCCACAAAACATATCAAATCATGTCATAAGATACATATCAATGTTCAGAAGAAACCACAAAGCCAAAGGAATAAAAAACCATACAAGAAAACCATGCAGACTAGAGTTGAGCGACATCTCCTCGCTGTTAAATGTCATTCTTCTCGCATTTCTAGTGCTTGAGTGACACCTTACAGCTGGACATTAGACTCTCGCATTTCTGGTGCTTAGACCTTGCTGAGCGCCACAACATAACTTAAAACACCTATAATTTGACTTTGGTTACCCTTTACCCATACTTAACTGATTGCTATGACCTCCTAGGCACTGTGAATGATCCAAAAACTCGTTTCTAACTCAAAGTAGCCATCTCAAACCAACTTGACAACTCTAGACTATCTAATCTCACTTATACTCTTTCTAATATATAAATTAACAACCTAGGGATCCAAGCCAATCAAAAATTATCCAACTATAGACCCTTAAACCTCTACTTCAACCCAAACTTACTACATTGAAACTTCACTAGTTAAAACCTCTTTAATTGAACCAAACTATACAAATACCCAATTTAATTGCAACAACTCAATTCTACTTCAGATTTCTCCTATTTCAAAGTACAAGTAAGTTATATGTGACCCTAGAATAGACCAAAAAAAACCATTTCAACCCATACAACCTTTACTTCATAATCCCACCCATCAACACCCTTATTTAGACCAAAGCAATCCATAAGTCAACTTACTTCTTATTTCTCCCCACCATACCAAATGTATACCATAAACATTCATAACAGCAAAACAAATGACACATGCAAGAAAACTCTTATGCATGGCCTTAAACTAAGAATTAAAGAAAAATGAAGCTGAAATTTACTTATTTTAGAGTAGAAACTGATGGGTAAGAAATGAAGGATTCATCGTCGTGCTCGTTTAGGCACTTCTTGATCATCAAATAGATGATTTAGAAATTAGAAATTGTAAAGAAAAGGAAAAAAGAACTCAAAGAAAGAGTTCTACAGATATAACAAATGTTTTTTTTATAATGAGACGAGTTTATGAAAATATATTTTTATTATTAATTTTTTTTAACTTTAAAATATTGTGTGTGATTATTTTAAAACACTTACCAACTCTAATACTTTATTTTCTAAGTTTTTACATATGGTTTATCAATCCTTAAGAAAATAAAATAAATTTACATATAATATAATACAAAGAGAAATATTGCTTAAAGTTTAAGAAAATTATAAAATGTGATGAAAACTTAGTGTACGATGAAAGCCCTTAATTGATAGAGGGAATATTTATGCAGGGTTGAGAAAACTAGAGGATGGGATGACATTGCATATGCTCTCAAACCCAGTCCTCCTGCCTTCACGAGACTTGCAATATTTTAGGTCAAATAGAAAACAAGTGCGGTGCGAAAATAAGGAGGGAAACAAAACAAAAATTTCTTTAATAATATTATTTTTAATTTGTCTGCGGCTTCCTTCAAAACCGCTGAAACTTTATAGGGTTTTCAGAACTGCTAAAAAAAAACCCCTATTATAATGTTATTTTTTTGTAGTGTTAGAATAAAATTTAATATAAAATAAAGAAATAATTAGTTATATATATATATATATATATGAATAAAATTATTAATATATTATTATAGTTGTAATACAAGTGAAAAATTAAATAAAGAAGATGTGTAAATGGTACTTTACTTCAAATACAATAGAAATCTTTATTTTTAAATGAGAATTTGAAGTTGAAAATTTAAAAGTTCCTTATAAAATTTCATAATTTCCATTTTATAATTGGATTTCTAATAAATGAAAAAAAAAAGAGAAATGAAAGATGTTTGGAGGGGTGGAAAGAAACAAGAGAGAAGGTAAATAAACAAATAAATAAAAAGTGTGGTATCTCACTTCTTTGATCATAATTCGTTTTTTATAATATCATCTAAATTAAGATCTAATAAAAAATAGAGTAATATTTATTTTAAAAAATCATAATTTAATCGAAAGACAGGTAGGTAGTGGCGCGCCTTAGTGTTGGTTTGAATAAACAGGTAGGTATTCTGTTTACAGTTTACAGTTTACAGTTGGGTTGAACTCACACAGACACACAAAGAAAGTCACAAAGAAAAGGCAAGACTGAAGAATGTCTCTGCGGCCCAGTTCGAGTTCTGGTTCTCCTTCGAAGACAAGGAGAAAAATGTATAAGGGTGGAATTGACGCAGAAGACAGTCGGAGAAGGAGGGAAAAAGACCTTGTCGCCATTAGAAAAATCAAACGTCAAACCACTCTTCTCAAGAAACGACAAGAACCAGAAGAACACAAATTTGATAAGGTATCTTTACGATCTCTTTTATTTAATTAGTTCTTCTAATAATTTTTTTAATTTTTTTTTTCTGACTTTGAATTAATCCTTAGCTGCTGGATGCTGTTCCTGAGATAGTGAAACGTATATGTGATGAGTATCCTCACAAACAATTGGAAGCAACTGCTCACTTAAGAACTATTTTAACACTTGGTGGTATATATCAATTCATTTTTCATTATCATATCATGCTAATTTTATAGCATTTATTCATTGGGGATATCTGTGTTCAGACCCGGCCCCTCCAGTTGATGAGCTAGTTAAGCATGCTATCCTCCCTCGCTTTCTGGAGTTATTATCAAGGGACGATGCACCCTATTTGCAGGTATACTTGTGCAGCATTGCATTTCCATTTTCTTGTTGAGATTTTCAATGTTTCATTCCATGTTTCAATGTGCTGTGCAGGTAGAAGTTCTGTGGGTTATATCCGATTTTGTTTTCGCATCATCCCAACACAAAAGTGCTGTGGTTGAAGTTGGTGTTGTTCCTCTCTTGGTCAATCTTTTCTCTAGTAGCCATGATGATATAAGAGAAGAGGTCAGATCTTCTGTTTGCTTTTTAAAGTCTTCAATTTTTTGTGTTTATAACTCAGTTTTATTATCTCTTTAAAATAACCGTTTTCTTAGAGTATTTATAAATACTTTTATTTGCTTTGTCTTGATTATTTGTACCCAAAAGGAAAATAATAATAATAATAATAGAGTTTGGTTTCCCATGTCTTGTACAGGCAATATGGATTTTAGGAAACATTGTTGGTGACTCCCCAGACTTTAGGGATCTTGTTCTTAGCCATGGTGCTCTCATGCCATTATTATGTCAGTTGCAACCACATTCATCATTGCATATAGTAAGGGCTGTTACGTGGTCTTTATCTGTTTTGCTCCGTGGAATGCCTCCAGTAGATTTTGAACAGGTAAAATCTCACTCGAGATTTATTTGAATTTCATGCATTGACACATTCAATAATTTGAAAATGTCATGTAATATGGAAATAGGATGATTGGTGTACTCTTCATGGTTACAAATATAGTGATCATATGAGTGTAAGCATGCAAACTTTACCACTGAATCCAGTTCCGTTGTTAGTCTGAGAATTGTGTAATATCTTGTATAAATAGTTAAAATATAACAACTATTAATGTTTACATTCATCTTTATGGTAACATGCATACTGTTGTATATTAGTAAGTATGTTAGTGAGAAATGGCTTGATCCTTGTCAGGTAAAGATTGCCTTACCTGCTCTTCAGCGACTCATCCATGCGACCGATGAAGATGTTTTAGCAGATACATGCTGGACTTTGGCTTACATTTCGGAAGGTCGTATGGACATTGTTCAAGCTATTATTGAATTAGGAGTTTGCCCAAAACTTGTGCAACTTCTTCAGTACGTTCTTTTATATATCCTCTCTTCCCTTTTGTGTCTCTATTCATTTCCTAGAAAAAAAACATTTAAATTTCATTTATCAGGTATCCATTAGATGGAGTTATTCTACCTGCACTTGAGGCTTTAGGAAATATTGCTGCTGGTGGTGAGGCTCATACACAGGTAGAAAGAATATGTTTCACATTTAAATACTGAGACAAAATCATTTTATGGTCCCTTCATCTTTTCATCTTCTGTGTTCTGAATAAATAATCGTTGTAGATACTACCGTCTTCTAATTCCATTGCTACTAAAAAAACTCATCTATTTTCAGTTTCTGATCGATAACCAATTGCTCCCGTGTCTTCGCCAACTCCTTGAGCGTGAATACACAAAAACCATATTTAAAGAAGCTAGTTGGACAATCGCAGTTATCACATCTGTGACTTCAGCTCAAGTACAGGTAAGAAAGGCTAATGGATCACTGAGTCCATATTTTTTTTTTTTTCTAGAAAGAATCAATGTCCAGTGATAGACATTAGGTATCCGTTTAGGAATACGCCTACCTGAGAGAGGTGGAGAGAAAGTGATTCTGTTTATCTGAGAGAGGTGGAGAGAAAGTGATTCTGTTTTATGTATTGATAGATAACAAGTCATCATGAGGATCATGGAAATGTGTTTACATAAAAAATAGTGAAACCTTTGAAAAAATGGTTATTATATTATCTGTGCAGGCTGTGGTCGATGCCGACATTATTCCTGCTCTTGTTAAAGTTGTCCATAATGCGGAGTTTGAGGTGAAGAAGGAGGCTGCCTGCGCGATCTTCAATGTCACTTGTATAGGATCTGATGACAATATCAGGTATAAAGACATTTTTCATAAAGGCATTTTTATAATTTTTACTGCTGTGATGAACATTATTATGGTAGGGTCCTTGCGGCTGAGGGTTGCATTGAGGCACTATGTGAACTCTTGACCTGTCCAGACCCAAAGCTGGTGAAAGTTTGTCTGGAGGGGCTGGTGAACATGTTGGCAGTTGGAGAAGCTGACAAGGATGAGAAAGGCAATGTTTTTGCTCGAAGGGTTGAGGAATGTGGAGGATTGGACAAGATTGAAACATTGCAACTTCATGAGAACATTGACATTCATACGAGAGCTCTGTGGATTTCCGATTGCTTTCGAGCAGAGAATGAGTTGGAAGATACGAATATGAGCTTCAGCCTGCTTGATTTTTCACTCATACAACACTTACAAGAGTAAAATCTCATAAAAAAAGTCATTTTTTCTACTTTTAAAACAAAAGGATGAATAGAAAAGTAAAAAAATTACTGTCAAATTGAATTAAAAAATTTCTGTATGACAAAATATCATTTCTTTAGTAGAATATGTCTTGCATTATGTTCTATCACTTTCTTGTTTCAGCTAAAAACAATATAGTTTAAATCTAACATATCTATCTAGTTAAATAGATATAGTATTAGATTAGATTAAGAAACTCAAATAAAATATAGCTGTTATAATATCTAGTCTGCATAATATTTTGCTATAAACGAGAAATAAAAATAAACCAGAATCTCTTCTATTGCGGTTCAAATTTTCTATTAGCCTTTTTCATCGTTCAAAATGAAATGAAGAATATAAGCCGAAGAAATAATACATAGCATTATTTAATACCTTTTTTACTTTTAGATTCACTAACATGGATAAGGGAAATTTAAATAATATCTACAAAATTATAAGTTTTGATATGATCGACTTGTGTGAACAAAAACTATTTTTTCTCTAATATAAATGGGGGCAAAATCAAACGTCTATTTTTATTTTTATTTTATTATATTTTATATTATTCCATTTTATTCTATCTTATGTTGCTTTGATTCTTACATATTCAACCACTCAAACTCAGGTCGTTGATAAAATCGATATGATAAAATGTTAAATATTATATATATGACTTTTTAATAGGAAACATAAGGTTTGGCTACATTTTATTGGTGAAGAAATTTATGATATATAAATATATATATATATATATATATATATATTAGTTTTTAAATTAAATCAACGTATTCGATCTATTATGTTTTTAGTGTCTAACATCATGCTACACTAAAGCAAGTGATAGAAATGGTCAGTATTTAAAATGTTGTCTATGACACCAACATAATTAATAGGAAGGATAATATTGACTAAATCTTAAATTAGAGGAAAGATTGAATGTTTTATAAATAGAATTACCCAATTAAATAGTTTTTACAAAATATTTTTTAATAACTAACCCCTAATTTTGTTTAAGTAAATATAAATGTAAAAAGCAAAAAGAATAATGTGAGGTGTGTATGTGAACACATTTTGGCACATTTCTATCAAAGCGCTATTATTCTATTTGTATGTGGCAACATATAAGGTGATGGTTGAATTTCATTTATGTCATCTAGTGTTGATAATGTGTTGTGCCAATATATTTTTGTTGCCATTTGTTTAGAAAGTTTAAACTTGTCTTGTTGAGATTTAGAAGATTTTGGGTATTTTAGTTGGATGTGGATTCAAATTATCATGAACGTGGATTTGAGATATTTTTCTCTTCAAGAATTCCATATATCTCTTTAAGAAATTGTAATATGAAAAAAAAATGTTTATATTATATTTTTGTTAAATCTTATCCCATAACAAATACATAAAGAATTCCATATATCTATTTAAGAAATTGCAATATGAAAACAAATGTTTATATTATATTTTTGTTAAATCTTATTTCATAATAATATTGATAGTACCTAGTATTGTCATAATATCGACCAATTTATTTTTTTTAACTAATTGAAGAAGAATTTGTAAATTTATAAAACAAAGGGGATGGATTTTTCATCTCTAAGAAAAACCATTTTGATCCCCTATTAGAAAAATCCCTAATTTTTCTTTGAAACTTCAATTCTTACATAAAATTCTTGTTTTGACAATTCTAAATTCGAAAATGATTTTTTACTAATAAATCGATACTCAAACTCTTTTCATTTTGACTCTTATTTTCTATCAAAGCAACAAAATTCCAAATTTTCATACGATAGGAAGTGCTTACAAAACTTGTTAAATAATTTTTATGGATTCTATCATTTCACTAATTCGAACTAAACAAGGAGCTCATAAATCTCCTTCTATTATCATTGAACTCCCTAATGAAATTCTTCTTAACATTTATAATTATCCATTTTACATAGATTTCATTTTATTCTAGAAACCCCAAACATCAGTCTTAATAAACCCAAATTAATAATTATTTTTACATCAACTACACGGACATTCTCAACCCGTTCTAAAATAATAGGATTTATTATTTTACATAATAATTTTTTCTAATAGTCAAGAATTACGAATCTAGATGAATATAGATACTCACATATTTTATTTATATTTGAGAAAATTTCACTTATTCTTATACCTTTTATTATATATATATATATATATATATATATATTTAAGTAACATTTAAATATTTGTAATTTTAAATAGATAATAATTTATTTTATATATTTAATTAAGTATACTTTCCTTATTTTATTTAATAATTAACATATTAATTAGACTAAAACTTAAACAAAATGAATTGTAAAGAAGATTAACAATTAAGTTAGAAGAAAAAAAATTGTAATATATTAAAATTTTAAAAATATATTGTGAGTCAACTATATTTATTCACATAAAAACATACAAGTGATATCCTTAGAATAAAACTTAATATAAGACAAAGAAATAAATAGTTATATACGAATAAAATTATTAATATATTATTATAATTGTAATACTAGTGAAAAATTACCTAAAGAAGATATCTAAACGGTACTTTACTTCAAATACAATAGAAACCTTTATTTTAAAATGAGAATTTGAAGTTGAAAGTTTAAAAGTTCCTTATAAAATTTCATAATTTCTATTTTATAATTGAATTTCTAATAATGCATAAATTATGAGGAATGAAAGATGTTTGGAGGGTGGAAAGAAACAGGAGAGCAGGTAAATAAATAAATAATGTGGGTGCCTCATTTCTTTCATCATAATTCATTTTTTATAACATCATTTAAATTAAGATCTAATAAAAAAAATACTTATTTAAAAAAATCATAATTTAATGAAAAGACAGGTAGGTATTGGCGCGCTTAGTGTTGGTTTGAATAAAGAAGAACAAGGCTATTCTGTTTCCAGTTTACGGTTTTCAGTTGGGTTGAACTCACACAGACACACCGCTCCCTCAGATAGTTTCTTGGAGGAAAGAAAAGGCAAGACTGAAGAATGTCTCTGCGACCCAGTTCGAGTTCTGGTTCTCCTTCGAATACAAGAAGAAAGATTTATAAGACTGGAATTGACGCAGAAGACAGTCGGAGAAGGAGGGAAAAGGACCTCGTCGCCATCAGAAAAATCAAACGTCAAACCGCTCTTGTCAAGAAACGAGAACAACGCATCTTCCGTAAGGTACAAAATCTTTTATCTTCTACAACAATTTTTACTGCTTTTTTTGTTTAATTAGTTCTTCTGCAACAATTTTTTGAGGTATTTTATTTAAGTAGTTCTTCCACATTAATTTTTTTAACTTTCTTTCTGACTTTGAACCAATGATTAGCTGCTGGATGCTATTCCTGAGATGGTGAAACGTGTATCTGATGAATACCCTGACAAACAATTGGAGACATATGCTCACTTCAGAACTTTTGTAACACCTGGTGGTATATATCAATTCATATTTCATTATCATGTAATGCTTAATTTTATAGCATTTATTATTTGGGGATATTTGTGTTCAGAACCAGCCGTTCCAGTTGATAACCTCGTTAAGAAAGGTATTCTCCCTCTCTTTCTGGAGTTATTATCAAGGGACGATGCACCCTATTTGCAGGTATACTTATGCAAGCATTGCATTTCTCTTCTCTTGTTAAGATTTTCAGTTTTGACCTCACTCACGCCATAGTTATTGTTCCATTGCATGGTTCCATGTGCTGTACAGACAGAAATTCTGTGGGTTATATCCGATTTTGTTTCCACATCATTCCAACACAAAAGTGCTGTTGTTGAAATTGGCTTTGTTCCTCACTTGATCAATCTTTTCTCTAGTACCCACGATGATACAAAAGAAGAGGTCAAATCTTCTGTTTGCTTTTTAAAGTCTTCAATTTCTTGTGTTTATAACTCAGTTTTATTATGCCTTAAAACATACTGTAGTTTCTAATTTCCTCATGCAAGAAGATTTTTTGTTTCAAAATAACCGTTTTCTTAGAGTATTTATAAATACTTTTATTTGTTATGTCTTGATTATTTGTACGCAAAAGGAAAAAAAAAATCGAGTTTGGTTCCCATGTCTTGTACAGGCAATATGGATTTTAGGAGGCATTGCTAATGGCTGCCCAGACTTTAGGGATCTTATTCTTAGCCATGGTGCTCTCATTATATTATTAAGTCAGTTGGAACCACAGTCATCAATGTCTATAGTAAGAGCTGCTACGTGGTCTTTATCTGTTTTGCTCCGTGGAATGCCTCCAGTAGATTTTGAACTGGTAAAATCTCACTTCAGAGATTTATTTGAATTTCATGCATTGACACATTCAATAACTTGAAAATGTCATGTAATATGGAAATAGGATGATTCTTGGTTTATTTAAGTAAACCGGCACACATTTAAAATTTGTTTGGTGTACTATTCATGGTTACAAATATAGTGATCATATGAGTGTAAGCATGCAAACTTTACCACTGAATCCAGTTTCGTTTTTTGTCTACGAATTGTGTAATATCTTGTATAAATAGTTAAATATAACTATTATTAATGTTTACATTCATTTTGATGGTAAATGCGTTTTGTATATTAGTAGTATGTTAGTGAGAAATGGCTTGATCCTTGTCAGGTAAAGATTGCCTTACCTGCTCTTCAGCGACTCATCCATGCAACCGATGAAGATGTTTTAACAGATACATGCTGGACTTTGGCTTACCTTTCGGAAGGTCATATGGACAATATTCAAGCTATTATTGAATTAGGAGTTTGCCCAAAACTTGTGCAACTTCTTCAGTACGTGCTTTTATATATCCTCTCTTCCCTTTTGTGTTTCTATTCATTTCCTAGAAAAAAAAAAACATTTAAATTTTATTTACCAGGTATCCATCAGATGGAGTTATTCTACCTGCACTTTTGGCTTTAGGAAATATTGCTGTTTGTGGTGGGGCTCATACACAGGTAGAAAGAATGTTTCACATAATTGTTATATTGTGGGGGCGAGGTATATCAGTGTGCAGAGCCTAATTACATATAATCATTTAAATACAGAGACAATATCATTTTTATGGTCCCTTCATCTTTTCATCTTCTGTGTTCTGAATAAATAACCGTTGTAGATACTACCGTCTTCTAATTCCATTGCTACTAAAAAAACTCAGTTGCTGATCGATAACCAATTGCTCCCGTGTCTTCGCCAACTCCTTGAGCGTGAATACACAAGATTCATATTTAAAGAAGCTAGTTGGATAATCGCATTTATCACATCTGGGACTCCAGCTCACGTACAGGTAAGAAAGGCTAATGGATCACCGAGTCCATATGTTTTTTCTAGAAAGAATCAATGTCCAGTGAAGAAGGTTGATAGAAGAGTTTAAGGAGGATGAATGTGATAGACATTAGATATCCGTTTACCTGAGAGAGGTGGAGAGAAAGTGATTCTGTTTTATGTATTGATAGATAACAAGTCATCATGAGGATTATGGAAATGTGTTTACATAAAAAATAGTGGAACCTTTGAAAAAATGGCTATTTTATTATCTGTGCAGGCTGTGATCGATGCCAACATTATTCCTGCTCTTGTTAAAGTTGTCCATAATGCTGAGTTTGAGGTGAAGAAGGAGGCTGCCTGCGCGATCTTCAATGTCACTTGTATAGGATCTGATGACAATATCAGGTATAAAGACAATACCTGACGTCATTCTGCTGTTTTTGGTGCTGCAAAATCTATGCTCTTGTGCATATTATTATAAGGATCAATTCATATTTCATAGAGCCATTTTTATAATTTTTACTGCTGTGATGAACATTATTATGGTAGGTTCCTTGCGGCTGAGGGTTGCATTGAGGCACTGTGTGAACTCTTGACCTGTCCAGAACCAAAGCTTTTGGCAATTTGTCTGGGGGGGCTGCTGATCATTTTGAATGTTGGAGAAGCTGACAAGGATGAGAAAGGCAATGTTTTTGCTCAAAGGCTTGAGGAATGTGGAGGATTGGAAAAGATTGACACATTGCAACTTCATGAGAACATTGACATTCATACGAGAGCTCTGTGGATTTCGGATATCTTTCGACCAGAGGATGAGTTGGAAGATACGAATGTGAGCGTTAGCTAGATTGATTTTTCATCATCATCATCATCATCATCGCATAACATGCGCTGAGAAAACACAACTGTAGAATATGTTTTGCATTGTGGTTTATCACTTTCTTGATTCAGCTAAAAACATTATAATTGAAATCTAACTGATCTATCTGGTTCACTAGATAGTATTAGATTAGATTAAGAAACTCAAATAAAATAGATGTTATAATATCTAGTCTGTATAATATGTTACTATATCTCTTTTGTTTTCTGTAGTTCAAAAATTCTATCAGCCTTTTTCATCGTTGAAAATGAAATGAAATAGAATATAAGCCGAAGAAATAATACATGGCATTATTTTTTAATAACTAACCCCTGATTTTGTTTAAGTAAGTATAAAATGTAAAAAGCAAAAACATAACGTGAAGTGTATGTGAAAACAATAGATTTATTAACTATGTTGGCACATTTCTATCAAAGCGCTGTTATTCTATTTGTATGTGGCAACATACGGTGATGGTTGAATTTCATTTATGTCGTCTAGTGTTGATAATGTGTTGTGCCAATATATTTTTGTGGCCATTTGTTTAGAAAGTTCAAACTTGACTTGTTCAGATTTAGAAGATTTTGGGTATTAATTAATTGGATGTAGGTTCACATTATCATTAACGTGGATTTGGGATATTTTTCTGCACCTATCTTCGTGCTCTCAATCTTGTCATTTTAATTGTCAACACGTTTATGCTGCAAACATATATTTCAATTTAGTTATATTTTAAAATACTTAATTTGAAATTCTAATTTGTTTTTCCTCCGTTTCATTTCATTAACCCCATTAGCATGAATTTTTCAGTTAAAAGAAAAAAAATTGAATATATTAAATTTGATAATAAAATTAAAAAAAAAAAGGAGTTTTAGAAAAATTTTACTATTGAAGTGGGTCTGGTGTAAATAAGTGGGTCCGAAATGAGTGAGAATTAGATGAAGCCCAAAACAGGCAGAAGAAGAGAGAAGGTGATAAGCAAATATTTTCGGTTAATAATCTAAACAGTCCTTTATTACGGTTAATTAGTCTATTTTGTACACCAAGAACAAGTTATAATAGTTGTTTTAGAATTTAATAGAAGCAATAATTAATTTATTTACTTGAAGCGTGTGTTGGTTGTTTCTTAGTTGGAAAGAAAAAAAAAGAGAATAAGGAAAGTTGTTGAAGACGTCGGTGAAAGCGATTAAGTAGAGGTTGCGTGGGTGCGGCAGCCTCTCATCAAACTTAAACCGGTGACCTTCCCAACTACATTTATTCCAAAACCATTCACAGCCTTATCTCTCTCAACCTCAGTGCTACCCTCTTTATTATGCCATAAATTTTCAACCGTACCAATCACCAACAACATCCAACAATTACAAAAGAAAATCTTAATTAATTCTCTTCCCTACCTCTACCTAGCAAGCTTAACAATCCAACACTTTTTCATTAATAATAACATATTTTATTTAGTAATTAGGACCGACCACCATGGCAACTACTCTTATATTTAAAAAAAAAAAACTTATGTATCCATGTAAAAAGAAGCATAGAATATTGGATAAAGAGAGAAAAAAAAAGGAAAGAAGATGGAAGAAAAGTAGAAAACGGTTTCGCCATCCAATTTATAAGCTCAATTTTTCGTGCATGCATGTTGCACCTTATTCAAACTATATATATTGGTGTCTGTTAAATGTGCACTAAACTAAAATATAACGAGGGTGAAGTAAGTTTTTAATGTAAACTCTTTCGAAAAATAGCCCTGGTCAGTTTTGATTGATTATATACAAAATTAAATGATTTAATAAGTTATGTATTTATGCGTTTCTTTGAATACGTTACTCTTTAAAACTCTCAAAATATCATTGAAACCCTCCATTATTGTTTGCTAATATTGTGCTTATTGAATTCTCTACTTTATTTTTCATTTAGACACTCAACAATGACTATGAAGCTATTGTGAGTAATCAAGTGTTACCTCGTCTTATATTATTATTAACCCTTTATCACGGATTCATATTGCTATTAAACAATAAAATATCCTCCGAATAGGTCAAAGTATACATAATCAGAAACATCCTAAGAGGAGTCTATTACAAATGCAGGAAAAAGATTTAGAAATACTCCAATGAACTCCATTAACGATGTTCGTGCTTTTCTGATTTAGAAAAATTCTTAGGCTTTAAAACAAAACATGGTCATTCATTGGCAACAATCTCTAGGTTTCCTGATCTTATAATCTTCCCATGTTGCTGATAAAAAAAATGTCTGACGGCCTTCTACTACAAGGAAACAATAATGTTAGTTAGTTTACATAACATTTATTTTTTAACAACAAATATTTAATCTTTGAAACAGATGTCGCAAGGAAACTTTGCGGTGGCCTGTGGTGGCCTGCGGTGGCACTGCGGCGACTGACACCACCACCTACTCATTGCCCTTTTCTCCTATATCGTCTCTCCCCATCTCCTTCTTCACCAAGTTGTTGCAAAACATTTGTTTCCACCCAACAAATACAGTGCTTAGATTGATGAACTAAGAAGTTTAACACAGCATACCGCTTATTCATCCAAAACGGTTAATTATTAGATTAATATTTTTAAGGGTGGTGATTTTTTTTGTCCACTATAAACCACCCAAGTCACTTCCTCACTCCAGTACTACATTTTTATTTAGGATGTGATTATTTGTTGTTTTTTTTCAATGAACTGAAATTAATCTCTATCCAAAAATATATAAAAGTAGTTTTTCTTTTTTATGTAACGGTAAGATATCAATGGAGAAAGACAGCATATTTCTGTTATGTTTTTCATTATTCTCTAAATTTTAAATACAGTGAAAGTTATTTGATATTTTTTAGACTGAAAGGGAAAGAGTTTTTACTGATCGATATATTTTCTAAAGAGGAAACCAATCAAATCTTAAAAACACAAGTTATGATTAAAATTTGGAAAAAGGTAAAAAATTACGTTAAAATAGAAAAAACAGATTTTTATATTCTCTATATATGTTGGAGTGTCTAGTTTTAATATTTTATAACAGAATTACATTTGTTGATATTCTTAAATTGCAATGACACATAAGTTATTTTTAATTTGTTGCTAAATTAATTAATTTTTATCTTTTTAATAAAATTAATGTTATTTTAAGAAAATTAGTTAGTGTTCCAAATAATAGTGATTCAGAAGAGGTTTATAGAAAGAATTATTAAATGAGGCATTAAAGTGAGAGAGGGGCAGAATTGAAATTTTGAGGAGATGAAAGGTTAAACTGAGAGGTGGAGAGCTATATATGAGAGAAGTGACCCTCTATCCTTCCTCAGCAGGTGAAGAACACTACCTCTTTCCGTGCGTTCGATAACCCAAAAGAGCTTAAAGCAATCATCATCACCGTCGTGACCATGGCACTGGTAGCAGAGGATGTCAAGAGCAGATCGGAGGTGTACCACGGGGACGAAATCTGCCAAGTGAAGTCGAAAGAGCTACTCAAGGAAATCGCTCTCCCCAATGGTCTCTTGCCCCTCAAAGACATAGAAGAGTGCGGGTACGACCGAGAAACCGGCTTCGTCTGGCTCAAACAGAAGAAGAGTTACACTCACAAGTTCGAAAAAATCGGTAAACTTGTGTCCTACGCGCCCGAGGTCACTGCTCGTGTAGAAAAGGGAAAGATCTCCAAGCTCACCGGTGTGAAGACGAAGGAGCTCTTGCTCTGGATCACGCTCAGTGACATCTACGTCGATGACCCTCCCACCGGCAAAATCACCTTCAAAACCCCCGCTGGGCTATTTCGGTCTTTTCCCGTCTCCGCCTTCGAGATTGAGGAGGAGGCTCAGGCGAGTAAGCGCGTGGAGGAGCCAGCTGCGGCTGTGCAAGTCAAAGAGGTCTGATTCATTATCGACAAGCTTCTGTCTTGGTGGTTACGGTGAATGAATCCAAAATTATATTTACTGTCAAATTAAGTTTTATTTATGTCAATCTTTTTATTATTAATGTTATTATTATTATGATGAAATGAATATGATACTGGTTTCTTAGGCAATTAACGCTCCTCTTTGCTATTTGACATTTGGAATTTTGTTTTGACAGCGAATAGTTTTAGCTTATATTTGACGCGGTAGGATATTGACAGGCATTAATTTACTTCTGCCTAACCTACTGAAATTAGGACACGAAAAGGAAATCTTAGGTCACTCTGTTTTCATGATGGGGTTTTGAAGTAAGAATGGGTTAAGGAGAATTTTAATTGAAAAAAAAAGTGATAATTTCAGG